AAGGTTAATCTTTTCACTGTTAAGAGACGAACAACTTCATTTTTGCTTCTTGACCAATGACTGGCACTCCTGTACGCGTGGATGTATAATATTCTATAATATTCGTCCTCATCCTCCTCAGGGAAGTTAGAGATCTACAGTTAGACCAAAGTTAGACCAAAGTTAGAGATCTACAGTTAAACAAGACCAAAATATATGTCATGGATACTGTCATCTACACGTACATCTATTATAAATTGCTGTGAGGCCAAGTATAGTGATGTATATAAGAAATAAACTTTAGTCTTTTTAGTTTTACTTTTGTTTTAGTGTACATACAGTACTGACATTCATCCGCATCAATGTGAACTTTAAACGTTTATTCTGCATGACCAAAGCGTTTATCCATCAAACATGTTGCTTAGTGTTCATTTTACCCTTTCCTGCCCTCCACTGCGTCTGGGCACTTTCTCATTATATATGTTTAATAATACATATATATATAGAGAGAGAATTAGATAGAGACATATTATCAGTATCAGTTTTGCGTGTGGGTAAATCCCATGGACTGAATTGACACATATGGTCAATCCGTCTGTGCGCATCTGTAGCATAAATTGGCATATTTTACCATATTTCTAATATCGTTTTTCTTCGATGCCTCCATCTCTCTCTCTCTTCCTCTCCCTCTCGCTATCGCTGTGTGTGTGTGTGTGTGCACGCGTGCGCGTTCGAAAGAGAGAGAGGGAGAGAGAGAAAGAGATCAGACAAACACAAACTACGTGTAGTTCATATGAATATTAATTTGTTTTAACAGCTCTGACCGTCACCCGCTATGCTGTCTCATTTCTGTCATTGTACATATTTGAAGGATGAGTACACCTTTACGTGTTAGTGTGCACAACATTTCCTACTTCAGAGGTCATGAAAGGACATTACGTCAAACTAAGAGACGCATCTCTCCTTTCAAAGGCCTCTTGGGGACCTACGCCAACGGTGACAAACGGACAGTATAGGAGACGCCTTCGTTCCCGTTAGATCGCCCAGTACATGTAGCTGAAGAAGGTGGGCGGCATTCATCTGAGGTCCTTAGCTGTCCTCTTATCAGCCGGTTATAGGAGCACTGGGGACGTGGAGAACGCACCCTCTTATCGGGTTGAAAACATATTTGTAATACGTACGACAGGTGAGAGCGGGGAGAACTAGGTCAAACTATACAGGTGTGCAACGGTTAGATTTCACACGCCGAAGAACGTACTTCCTAGCAGCACGCTAAAAACTGTTTTATATTGCCTGTATCACATGTAGTACGATTATTATTTATTTTCACCACACCAAGAAGAAAAAACGAAAGCATTCGATGTTAATTGTTGTTGTATATAGGCTACATGGACAATGTAGAGTGAAGACCCAAACATTCCAATATCATGAGTATTTTGTTTAATGTCAACAACTAGGTCGACAAAGAACATCGATTCTTAGGTGGGAGGCGTTTTTTTTTTTTTTTACATAATTCTTATTTCAAAGTCTGTACTATTAATTTGTTTATTGGACAGAAGCAATCTCGACAGAACAAAACTTCATACCCCACCCCACCACTACTTTACCTTATCTCTCTGTCTACCAGCTTGCTATTGCGTGTGTTTCAGCCATATACGTATTTATTATTTTCATTTTTTTTTTTTTTTTTGGGGGGGGGGTCATTGTCATGTGTTTATACAGTGTATAGCCCAATTGGCGACAATAACAGTGAAGTTTCCTTTATTCTAGTTATAAACACAGAGCAATGGAGATGAAAGAGATGTCATCTTCTCCGCCGACAGCAGAAATGTCCGCTGATCGCGACAAGGACATAAAGGACACGGCTGTAGATCAGGTACACATACACCTGGAGGAGAAAACAACGCAATCGGATTCTCAACAATCGCAATCAGATGAAAACGTTATTAAAACACGAGACGTTCAGCCTGCGGAAGATATAATCATTAAACAAAGACAGTCTAGACGATTGAAAATATTGTCGGCTATCTCAGTTATAATTTTCTTTCCAACTGGAATACCTGCATTCATCTATGCATTGAAAACAGAAGAAGAGTACAAAAAGGGAATTCAGCAAGGTGATCTTACACGCGCGAAGAGAACTCGCTTGTACTGTGAAAGGTTTATTATTCTATCGTTTATTGGTGCTATACTTCTCATTGGAATTATATGTGGTGTTGCATTCGGCGCGAGGAACGTCGCACTTCACGTGTAGAATTAAGGTGAAGGAGGCGGGGCGCCAATTAAGCTCTGTATGCCTCATGCACATCGAATCTTTAACAAAAACTATCTTGGAATCACATATTCTGTTACAAAAAGAAGTTATTAGCAACGTCGGCATAAAACTCTCCAAAAGTGGACTGATCTGTAGATATTCAAAGGACGCCCCCAACGGTGAATTGAATTATTAATTTTTATCATGATCAGCAATGAGAAATCTTTATTCTTCGGCAAAGACAACGTGTTGGCGGGCACGTTTCTGCACGCTGCAGTCCTAGATGGGGCATTTTCAACAAATGTCTCATTCTTCCGCGGTATTTGCAGAACAGGAGGTGACTTAAGAGGCATGGCAAAACACCTACTCCTTTCTCCCCCCCCCCCCCCAATAATCTGTACCAACTTCGTCAAGAATGAGACAATGTCTCACAGAACAGATTTGTGACCCTTGAGGAGAGCCTATCACACAACCTGTAGAAAATAAACCTGACTTTAAAAGAGATTTCTCTGATAATTTGTATAAACTTGGTGAAATTTGGCGTTTTTTTTTGATTTTATGGATATTTTCTACCACTATGGAAATCGCAAAGACAAATCAACACATAGACATGTTTTTAAAACCACGTCACGAATTATTTGCTTGCTTAGGAAAACCTTATAAAGTGACATTACAAGACTTCAGGATATTCAGATATAATTTGACTTTTGAGTCAAAATGGTGTCAGTTCCGTAGATGTTCAGATTAGAACTTTTTGGAATGACAATACAACGCTTCTTTAAAACCTCTGCCTTGCCAATTGATTTTTATGATATATTGCATAATTCATAACTTATTTATATGTGTATGTTATATTTACATTTAATATTAAATAAACAACCAAATTGTTCAGTACGAAAAGTTTATTTGTAACTAAGAAGTGTATTCTATTACAAGGATGATTCTTCATAATCATAAGACAAGGGATTGTTGACAATCAAGCACACAGTGAAGAACTAATGGCAAGAAGCGGTAAAACAAAACAAATATGTATTCTAGAATCAGGCAAAATAGTTTGTCGTTTTGAAAGTTTATGATATGCAAAAGATTGGTATAACTGTAAGTTCCATGGAACTTAAAGCCCGCAGATATTCATTCGACCGCCTTCTCTTTGTTCTGTTTTCCTATATATCCATTCATAAAATAAAAGAAATTTATTTTAAAAATGTCTGTCATTTGGGAGGCGTTCAATGCAGTTGTTAGGAACTGGAATGTTTAAGAGGAAAATCTGGTTATTTCAAGATAACAGCAGATAGATATGCCCGTGTTAAAATGAGTTCTTAAATATCATCAGTTGGTAAAGGAGTCTGTCCAACATATTGCTGAAGTGATGGAATGAGAAGTTATGAGTGAAAATTAATTTTATGAAAGAATTGCTCAGTTTGCGTACCAAGAAGTCATGTTATGGCTCAGCAATCCAAAAGAAAGCATATTTTCGCGTAAAACACTTTTTTCTACACTGTTCCTGTCTTAATGTCTATACCTTAGTCATTTCAACTTGCCTGCACTGGGTTACAAAGCTGTGCTTGTTCCTGTTCGAGGTCAGCCAATTTAGCGTTGATTTCATTGATAACAAACCCATAGTTCATCTCCAAGGAGTGCATGAATGCATCGAAGGCAGTGGGTCCACGAGTGGGAAGTAGATCAAGGAACCTTTCCATTTGCTGTTTCTTGGTTTCTGCTGCCATAATCATATCCGTCATATCATTATCTAAAATCTCCTCCTACAACCCAAAAATAAAGAATAATTGACATAAAACAGAAAATTTCCAGAAAATGATATTTCTTAATATATATTACTAGCCGCGTGCCTTTCAGAAGTTCACAAACATTACTCTTTTACAAAGTTGAAATCTAAATCTGTTGGAAATTAACCATATTTAATATGTGTGTGTGTGTGAGAGAGAGAGAGAGAGAGAGAGAGAGAGAGAGAGAGAGAGGGTGGTGGAGGGTTGAGGGTTACATGGTACTTAACCTCTATAAGATGATTGATAAAGAACTGAGGATGCAGGCTTTTACATAAATATCCTCTGCATTTCCGGAGAACTTTTTTGTGTTTTTCCTCCATATCGTATGTAATGCTGATTTAGGTTTGCAAGGCAGTCTGAAACGCAAATAAATAGAAAAAAATAAAACTGAATTATACCTCCTAATATTTTACAAGCACAAAACTGCTTGCAATGTTGCCTGGTGCGATGAAAATGGAGCATATTTGGGGAACGTGGACTACGCCGGAAAATTTAACAATATCATATAAGTATTGATGACCCTGTTGTCTCGTTTTAGCTGTCCGGGGGAAAGGACTCAGGTATAGAGATATTACATATACAACACGAGATTGACGAGGCTGAATTGAATGAAAGTGCCACAAAAAAGACCTGAAACTTTTAATCATATACCTGTAGCATAATTTCTGCGCATATGTATTACCACTTACAGATAGTGAAGAGAAGATACATTCTTTTCATGACTAAAGAATGAATTTGTTTATTCTGATTTTAAAATAACAAAACTCTCCTTTTTAATTTACCATGTCACATTCCAATACCATGATGCATCACATCTCTCGTTTTTCCACAACCTTCCAACTCTCTAAGTTTTGAACTTGGTGTTTACTTTTTATTCATACCAAGTGTGCACCGTTTCTTTTTGTTTTCAGCAAATAAATGGAGAATGAAATGTTGATTCATTAACTGTTTTATTATTATTTTGCATTGGATTTCTTGCTTGGCTGTATATATGAAACTTCCAAGTGTGAAAAATGCATTGCTTCCAAGAATAGCTGCTCGTATTTTGTATATAATGTATGTATATTTATATTGGATGGAGACTTTGCTGCCTTGGCGGAGGTCTGCCTTCATGTTGAGGGCATTGCAGAGAGCATTCAGAAAAATATCTGAGAATACCCATTATAAAATAAAACATTAGAAAACGTTAACTTTCATCAGAAAATATGCCTAACAAGAGGTTTTATGAAATGGAGCAAGTCCGCCCAGGTATATCAGCCGAAAAAAAAAAAAAAACAGACAAGAGTTTGAAAAACTTACTTACCATGTAATGAAACGAATTTTGAATGGCGAGGAACACTGCGTGGTCCTACAGGCCGCCATTTTACTTTACGGCGCTTCCACATATCATCTGTCTTTTCAAATGGCGAAGGGCGTGATTCATCGTTTCACATTCGAGATGTGGGGGATGGGGTGCGGATTTGCTAGCTCATGCAGCCAGGTGCGTGGTTATTTTGCTTGAGAGTAAACTGAATGGTTTAAACAGAAAGTTTTTAGACCTTGACTTTTTATATGTTAACTGCACGAAAAAAAAGTGATGTCCGATGATGAAGATGGTCAAACCTGTAAACTCTTACAATGTATCCCTACAGCCACGTTCAGATGGGCGATAAACAAAACTTCAGACTTCAGACGTCTGCCTTTTCAGTGTAAATTCTTATGGTTAGCATGCTCTGGAACGTATTCAAAGACCTTATCTTTAATAATTTTTAGGATAACTAAATATCTTCCTGCCGATAAATTCCTCTTCCTTAGTTTTCAGGTGGGCTTTTCGGATATATTTCCGATAGGAAAACCTCTGAGAACTGAAATGCTGACGACCTCAAGTCTGCCCCTTTCTGTAAAACGCGACCAAAAGTAAACGCCTAGCTGATTTTATTTGGTTATTCAGAAGGTGCCGTTGTGGCAATCAGCAGGTCTTTGTGTATTTTTCTTTGAAAAGTGTTGTTCAAACTGGCGAATACCCTTTTTTGTGACGTTTTTGTTATGATCGATATCAAATAATAGGTGTCCCAGATACCTCAGCAGCACGGCGTTAGCTTTTAGTCTCGGTTAATATTGCAATGTATGGTAAAAAAGGAAAGCACTATGTGCCGATGTTAATAAAGGGAACTGGTTGAAGGTGTATGGCCTCCATTTTATCTATGTCTTAACGGAGACATTACATGGTGTCAGATAGAGGGATTACTGAGCAAGTCTCATAAAATTAGCAAGTCTAAAGCCTCATCTCACAGAGTGATAAACTGTAGACACTAAATTTGAAACGTACAATGGCAAGTGCTGGTATAAAGCCGCTAAGGGAATTCACCTCGGACCCGACCACGTGCGCCCAGGAATGGCAGTTTTATAAGCGGGATTTTCTAATACACATCGATGCATTAGGACTACAGGATAAACCAGGTCGACGAAAGGTAGCCATTTTATTGAATAATATGGGAAGAGAAGCAGTGAAAATTTACGATTCTTTTACGTGGGTGAATGATGATGAAAAGTATGATTTAGAAGGAGTTTTCACGAAGTTTGACCAACATTTTGGAGTACACAGTCTAAGAAATGTGAAGAGACAAGAGTTCCTCAACTCAAAAAGAGGTAACATGACAGTTATGGATTTTATCGCTACTTTAAAGAGGAAAGCAGAATATTGTCAGTATGGTGAAGAAAAGGAAGGATTCATATGTGACATGATAATCAATGGGGTAAATGATTCAAAATTGTCAGAGAAACTTATGGAAATTCCACCTGCTGAGCTTACCCTGAACAAAGTTATAGAAGTTTGCAGGCAAGTGGAACTCACTGCAACCCATTTGAAGTCACTGGGTGATGAGAATCCAAATGTTAATACAGTGCATACTCGCCGTCCTCAGGCTCATGTAAGTCATGATAGAAAAATGATCAAGCAGTGTGTATACTGCAGGAGGACACATGAAATTAGGAAATGCCCAGCGTACAATAAATATTGTGACAATTGTGGGAGAAAAGGACATTTTAAAAATTCTGATATGTGTAACCAGAGAAACAGAGAGAGATGGCCAAGCAGCAGAGGTAGAGGAAGTTACAGAGGAAGAGGCAGTGAAAGAGGGAACAGTAGAGACAGAAGATTTTTTAGAGGATCCCGTAGTGATAGTGCAAGTCATGGTCAATCAGCGAGATCTAGAGTTCACTATGCTGAAGATGCAAGTAAGGAATATGCTGAAAGTAGCTATGAAGAAAATGTGAATGATATGTGTGAAGAATTTGAGCAGAATTGTTCGCTGACAGGGTCAGATGTTTTCACTGTTAAAAATAATTCAGAAAATAACAGCAACTGGTCTGCCAATTTGAATGTCAAGGGAAAGAAATTAATGGTTCAGTTGGACACTGGTGCACATTGTAATGTAATATCTAGAGCGACTGCAGAAACATTCAGAAATGTGGCAAAAGTCAAACCTAGTGACATGGTCATTACAGGAATCAATGGAAATCCAACAAAGGCATATGGTCAGATTACGCTACCGTGTAGCTACAACAAAAGTCCCCGTCGTGATGTTGTGTTCCAAGTGCTGGACACTAACAGAAATGTAAATCTTCTAGGAGGAGAAGACTGCGTCAATTTTAAAATGATTTCCAGGATAAACAGTGTGCATGTGACAACAGACGAAATTTTAGATCGATACAAAGACGTTATAAACAATGAAATTGGATGTATGCCGACTGAATACGAGATAAAAATAAATCCAGAATATACACCAGTTGTTCATCCTCCGAGATCACTACCAGTAGCAATGAGGGAACAAGTCAAAAAGGAGCTAGACAACCTGACAAAATGGAAAATTATTACACCAGTAGAAGAGCCGACTGACTGGGTGAGCAGTATGGTCTGTGTGAGAAAGAAAAATGGTAGAGTTCGGATATGTATTGATCCGGCAGATTTAAATAAGGCAATATTGAGAGAACATTACCCGATAAATTCCATCGATGACATTGTCACCAGGGTAAATGGCAGCAAGTATTTTTCCACACTGGATGCGAACAAAGGATATTTTCAAATCAAATTGACTGAGAAAAGTTCATTCTTGACAACTTTTAATACACCATTTGGAAGATTTCGTTATCTTCGTTTACCCATGGGGATTAAATGTGCCAGTGAAATCTTTCAACGTGAAATGAACACACACTTTGGCAACTTAGAAGGAGTTGAAATTATGATGGATGACATTCTCGTTCATGGAAAATCGATTGAGGAACATAATGCGAGATTATGTAAATTGTTGGAAAAAGCTAGAGCAATTAATCTCAAACTGAACAAAGAAAAATGTGTTTTTGCAAAGACTGAAGTTGACTATGTAGGACACACACTTACTGGAGAAGGCTTGAAGCCAACGCAGAAACGTATTGATGCAATCATCAACATGAGAGACCCAGAAAACCACGAAGAATTAAAGACAGTGTTAGGCATGCTGGAATATGTAGGAAAATTCATTCCACGTCTAAGCCAATTAAATGCACCACTAAGAGAGCTCAAGAAGCGAGAAGAATGGTCGTGGGACGCACCAGAGAAGCAAGCTTTTGCAAATATTAAGGAAGCCTTAACTTCAACGAAAGTGCTCAGATACTACGATGTCAATAAACCTTTGAGATTGACAGTGGACGCGTCAACAAAAGGGCTTGGAGCAGCGGTTATTCAGAATGATGGAGTAGTAGCATACGCATCGAGGGCATTGTCGCCAGCCGAACAACGGTACGCCCAGATAGAAAAAGAAATGTTAGCAGTAGTGTATGGATGTGAGAAATTTCACAAATTGATATATGGAAAATCAGATATAACAATAGAGAGTGATCATAAGCCACTTGAGAATATAATGAGGAAGCCCATAGTTTCTGCTCCTATGAGAATACAGCGCATGATGCTGAAGTTACAGCCTTATCAATTTGAGCTGAAATATGTCAGTGGGAAGGAAATCGGTTTAGCTGATTGTTTGAGTAGATTACCGTTAAATGGGAATGTTGAAAATTCTATGGATGATGAGATGATGATCTTTAATGCAGATATTCATGCTTCAGAATTAAGTGCAAAGTTTGACAACATTGTAGAGGCAACGCAGCAAGATGTTAACCTTCAAATTTTGAAGCAAGTCATATGTGAAGGATGGCCTGAAAGGAAATCACAAGTGCCACTGGCAGCATCACAGTATTGGGATTTTAGAGACCAAATGTCAGTACACAATGGAATTGTTTTCAGAGGGGAAAGGACAGTTATACCTTTTGAGTTAAGACCAGAAATTCTTAAAATTATTCACAGCTCTCACATGGGAATTGTCAAATGTAAACAACGAGCCAGGGAATTGGTATTTTGGCCGGGAATGAACAAACAAATTGAGGAAGTGGTAAACAAATGCAGCATCTGTTTGCAACATAGAAACAATTTACAGAAGGAACCAATGATTATTCATGAAATTCCAATTTTACCATGGAGCAAAGTGGGAACAGACTTATTTGAAGTCCAAGGGAACAATTACTTAATAATGACAGACTATTACTCAAATTTTATTGAAGTATCACCATTGAAAAATGATACTAGAGCAGGTACAGTCATCAAACGTCTTAAGGAGAACATTGCGCGTTATGGAATAATGGACACTCTTATAAGCGATAATGGGCCACAATTCATAAGTAATGAGTTCAAACAATTTGTGCAAACATACAAAATTAATCATGTGACATCTTCACCACTACATCAGCAAGCAAATGGCCTTACTGAAAAGGCAGTTCAAACAGTGAAGAAAATGATCAAAAAATGCATGGAAACAGGAGATGATATATATTTATGTTTGCTGGAGCTAAGAAACACTCCTAGAGACAACGAGATAGGTTCTCCAATGCAGCGTCTGATGGGTCGTCGTGCAAAAACTTTGTTACCAATAACCTCAAATTTAAGAAAACCAAGCACCCAGGAACCTGTAAAGGTAGCTTCGAAATTGTTGCACCACCGCTATGAACAAAAACATTACTATGACAAAAAGGCAAAACCGCGTGACACTATCCAGCCAGGAGATTCAGTTCGTATTTATACACCTCAGGGTTGGAAACCATCTGAATATGTAAAATCAGCAAATTATCCAAGATCACATATTGTTAAAGCAGGAGACAGTGCGAATAAATACCGGAGAAATTCCAAACATTTAATGAAAACTGTGGAAGAACCACACAAAATTGTGAGAAAACAAAATATTGTAATACCCAGACAATCTTTTGAGCCCATACCAACTGTGAAAAGTCGAGATAAATCAACTGAACATTTGGAATCTATTTCACAAATTATGCCAAACTCTTCATTTAAGCCACAAGATGTGCAATTAGAAACTGTTATTAAAACGAGATCTGGAAGATCTATTAAGAAACCAAAGCATTTATCTGACTTTGTAACATAAAAGAAAGAAGTGTATACTAACTCTACAATTGACTTATATAAAAAAAAATGTCAGTTATTTAAGTTTGTTAAAAAAAAAAAAAAAAAACTGAACAAATGACTTTTCAAAAAAAGATACGAACAATGACTTTATTGACTATATCAACATTCAGTACATAAGTAATGTAGTTTTTTTTAATTTCTCATTTTTTTTCTGTTCTTGTAGTTTAGATTTAAAGCACTTGAGTACAGTTTATATGTTAAAGAAAAAAAAAAGGAAAGAAAGAAAAGGGGATGCAATGTATGGTAAAAAAGGAAAGCACTATGTGCCGATGTTAATAAAGGGAACTGGTTGAAGGTGTATGGCCTCCATTTTATCTATGTCTTAACGGAGACATTACAAATATTACCGTTTGGGTGAGACTCGAGGACATCAACATTTCAGTTCACACAGGTATCAACGATAGAAATACAACCAAAAGCCCATCCTGAAAACTGAGGAAAGAGGAAAGGATATCAACGCTTATATTTAGATACATCTGAAGACGCGTCTAAGGTAAGACGCTTGCATGACTTTAAGCAGTTGTTAACAATGTGTTCTGGTAGGCCCTATTACAAATATTAAAGCAAAACAACTGTAGGTATTGTAACCTTTTTACTGATTTGTTTTTCGCTCTTTTGACTGCTGCTGTGGGGATACATTGAATCAGTTTACGGTTTCAATCATGCTTCTTGGAAAACCGGCATGTTTAGTTATGAGTGCAGTTGACCTAATATCTAAAAACTCTGGTAAATTTATCCCCTATATATATATATATCAGTTTTACATGGCCTAGCAGTCACTAAATATTATAAACCATTATTGACCGACATCAAATACAACATTACGAGTTAATACATGTAACATAGCTTTGTTGTTATTTATTTATTTATTTATTTATTTATTTATTTTGTAAGGCAGAGAGTGAGAATAAGATATAAAAATAGGAACAGGTGCGAACGCTTAATAATTAACTTTCACTTTTGACCTATATTACCTATAGAACTATGGCATCTTGGGCTGAGTGTGAGCGACCCGTTCGCGACGCAATTAATGTGTATAAATATGCCACCCGGCATGCTTAAAATTTAGCCACGCTTTAACACTGACAGTTAAAGAAATAGTTATATACCAGTCAAATAGCTCGCGTCATTGTGCTGTTGACACACCCAGCTAGACCACTAATAACATAATGTTTGTTTTTTTAACGAACTCCACGTTCCCTTAACGCACAGTTTCCATTGTATTAGACTGCATTCTAAACAGATTTTATACCAATAAAATATAAGTCGACTTAATTAAGTTTTATTCATTTTATGAATTTCGTTTCAGGTTGCTTTGCAGCTTTAATTCAGCCCTATAAAACAATATGGAGAAAATACACAGAGATGCTCTCATCAAATGCAGAGTAGATTTATGTAAAACCCTGGATCCTCAGTACTTGATAGATCATCTTATAGAGGTAGGTTATTGCAAAACCTCCCCCTCCACCCCC